TTAGATTGGCGCCTTGGATTTGAAGTTGCCTTGAGGGACCCCACCGGATCCTTCTGCTTCGAAGGTTGTATCACATTCTTCAGATCAGACTGTCGCTGTTGTACTAAGAACTTTCCTCTGGCCCAGAAGCTGAGAAGAACAAAGCAGTGAGAGGAACTGAGGAAATCCCCCTGCTCTAGCCAGCGAGGGAGCTGGGGGAAGGGGGGCGGTGCGGCCCCAGCAAGAGCGTGTGTGGTGCCCTCACTCCTGTGCTTCGTTGCCGAGAGACTTCCTTCTAACAGGGACCCCTCTGTTGTTGTGGCTGAGACTTTCTACTTGAGAAGCATAGTTTCCCAGTGATGCCACCGGATTCCTGATGTGTGACACCCCAGGGCAGCATGGTGAAGGATGCTGTTGACTGCCTTGGGGCCCCCAGACAGGGACATCATTGTGAGTCACGTTGAGTATGTGAACTCCCCCTTCCCATGACTGGCACTATTCTTAGCACCATCTTTTGCTCCCTGGGACAAAGGTCACTGGGAGCACTGTGGAGTTGGGTGGGTGGATGGGGCTGGGCCCAGGGTGAGAGGAGGTGCGGGGAGAAGGAGGAGGAGGCTTTACAGTTTTAGGATATGTTGGAGCAAGGGCAAAGGATGGGGCCCTGCGGCCCTGGAGATTTGGGCAGAGTTACACTGAGCAATACAGAAATGTCCTGTGGGAAAGTCTAACCAGGAGCGCTGGCCGCATCACTGCCTCAACAATTCTGGGGCCTCAGCAGTTCCCGTGGGCCTAGATGTGGATGCTACTGGCAGGGTAGCCAGGGTAGCCAGCATGCATTCCTAGAGCCACCTCCCTGTTGTGTGTCTCCCTCAGGTGGCCTTGCTGTCTCCTCCCAGACCTGAAATGAAGGTGACAGACACATGGTTGTGGAAGCAATCCTGTGTAAGTCTGGCCACTAGTCCAGCCAGGGCGCAAACCCACCCTGAAACCAGGCCTGACCTGGCGTTTCCAGCTGGAAGAAAAATCCACGTCCTTCCTCTTTACAGCTGCCTGCAACCAAAGGACAATTTGGGGGTCAGGAAACGGGAGGCCTCTTTAGGGGTTTCCTGTAGAGTCCTTTCGTTTGGTACCACCCGCAAGCCTTCTGAAGGGTGCACAGCCACTTCAGGAAAGCCACAGCGAGAGGGCTGTGTGTGCCTGCCAGCGCTGGATGGGCTTATAGGATCTTTCTTCCAGAAGCGAGGAAGGAGGCTTGAGCTGACATCACCCTATTTTGACTTTCTTGTTGTGATATGCTCACCAGAGACATTTCTTCTCATTCAAGCTCCTGTGCTTTTGTTAGGCATCTGGTCTACCTCTTTATGTGTACGTGCGCGTGCTCCCTCCCCCCCCCCCCCCCCCCTTTAGTATAAAGAGAAAAAAGAAGTTTGAGAGTGCCTCATCTATGACCTGGGCTCCAGGCTCCTAAATGTTTCAGGTTTATATTCCTTATGAACAGAGGGAAGTTCACAATGAGCAAAAGAAAAGATCCATGGATAAGAATATACCTTTTCCGCCACCCCACCCGGCTGATCTATGCAGACGGGGATCAAATACAGAGAAAGCTGCAGGAGGGATATAGAGCCCATGCCTTTGACATTTCAATTCAGGAAATGGCCCTGCCAGGAAAAACAGCATTAATAATTCTGTCTGACATCCCTGCTTCTGAGCTGGTTCCACTGACATGACTTAAACTCCCCCTTTGCACTTTCTGGCTGCCCCATCTCAAGGGCAAGGGACTGTGATGTGTTCTCTGGGACTTGGAATATGCTGGCGGCTCCCTGCCAATGACTAGGACTTGCCTGGGTAGAAGTAACCTAGTATGTCCCTCCTCCCCCTTCCTCAGCTTGGTGTGCCTAATCCTCCACTCCCCAAAGGCATGTTAAGATGAGTAGTGTGAAAGAGGTCTGAAGGTAATAGAGGGAGGGAGGAATAGCGATGTAACATTAGCCTAATAGTTACCAGAAGGGGGACTGACTCCCTGGGCTGGAAATATCACCTGTGAAGGTGAACACCAAGGTCACGAATGGTCAGATGGTCAGGAGAACCACTAGCCATCCAGTGTCTTGTGTCTGCTGTGAGATGCAAGGAAGAGATTTTTTTTTTAAATCTAGGTCTTCTTATCATGTGACTCACGTCAACTAGGCAGGCTGATGAGATGCCAGTCTCTGGGTTGTTTCTGTCTGATGACAAAGTAGTACCAAGGTGAAGGGGTTTGGAGTGTCAGACCACCTGGGTTCCATTCACGGCCATTTTACTTCTGAATGGCTTTGGACAAGGCCAGTGGACACAAGGCACACAGTGTATCAGTTTTCTCTGTTGTAAAACTGGTAAAAGCAAATTTGATAATAATAGTATCTATTCCCTGGAGTTATTTTAAGGAATACATGAGATCAGTATGAAGCAGCCCACATAGTATCGGTGCATAGTAGGTGTACAACAACTTATAGTTCTTGCTTGTAGTTTTCTCTGTCCAGGGTCTTGAAGCAACTCCTCTCTCTGTGTCCACATTGTGGGGGAGTGGCCCAGGAGAAGGCTGCAGACTCCAGGGCTCATTTACATAGCTATGGAGTAGTTGGCTTTCCCTTGTGATGTCTGTCTTCAAAATAATATTAAGACAATGGTGTCCTGTTGGGTGTATAGTCGTTCTGCATCTCTTCTGGAAATCTGTTCTTTTGCAAGGTTAGTGCAGTTGCTTTTTCTGAAGTTCTTCGCTACCAGAAATTCCGTAGCGTTTCTTAATAGAGGTTTGTGTACTTAACGCCTGCCCACCAGGATAGCTTCTCAACGGATTCCTCATATAATGTCGCATCTTGTCCTGTGAACCCAGCCACGCGGTGGTAGCCAGTAACTTTAACTCAACTCCCAAGAAATTTGCAAATGCGTCTGAGCTGTATACTAAATGGTGTTTTAACAGCAGAGAGAAACAGAAGAGGGTAAGGCTTTACTACCGTCATACTCTGGGCTGTTTCTTTGAATGTTACGTTATTTTGTAGGGCCCACTGAATCATTGTATTCTAGAACATGTGTCAGGTGTTTCTTGCAGGATGGTTTTAAAGAGCTCAAGGTGCATTCTTGGAAGGGCGAGGTAGAGCTGTTCCATCTTCTATGTTTAGCTTGGGCTATGCTGAGGACACCGAGACTTGCCCCAGCAGGTCATTCCTGTGGGGGGGGGGGGAAGGGGGCGGGGTAAGCCCTTTTTTGCTTGCTTGATGACAATCCATGCCAGTCGCTGTCTCCCTGGTAGTTGGAGGCTGAAGGGCTGGGCATTAGACCCAGCACCAGCATTTTCTCACTGTACCCTGGAGCAAAGTGACATCACTTTCTTGAGCATTTTTCTTTCTCTGCCTTAATAGGATGGAAATAGTAAGACCAGTTGTGCCTCGCCTATAGAAAGGATCAGGGAGTAGAGTTTAGGAGTAAGCAAAATGATGCATGCGAACATACCTTGTAGAAGTATAAGGTATAACAAGAGATTACCCTTCTAGATCATAAAGAACATTGCCTTTTTAGACTAAAATAGAACCTAAAGCTTGTTTCCTATTGGATCTCACTTTACTTTGGCTCAGACAAATCTGAAGCTCACATTAAGGATGAGAGCCTTAGAAAGTCAAGTTTTTCTGTATGAGTTAGAGTGTTCCTGGCTTCCTTCATCTGCATGAACTGGGCCTTTCCCAACCCTACTCTGTCCAGATGGCTTCTAAGATGGTGTTGTAAGTGTAGACATATAACAAACAGCAGAGAAGATTGAACCCATATTTGTTTCTCTGGCTACACCCATAAATTAGATAGGAATCACTGGCAGCGTTGTCATATCCGAATAGAAAGTGATCTTAAAAGGAAATCTATTAGCATAAGGCCTTCAGCATAAGATAAATTGACTATCATAGTATGTCTGGCTTTTTAGAACGGAGATCTTGGCAGTGTTGATGGCTAAGATAAGTGTACGTGCATGTGCGCATGCGCGTGTGTGTATGTGTGTGTGTGTGTGTGTGTGTGTAAGTTAGAATATACTATGAGGCCCCTGGGTGGCTCAGTCGGTTAAGCGTCTGACTTCAGCTCAGGTCATGATCTCACAGCTCGTGAGTTCAAGTCCTGTGTCAGGCTCTGTGCTGACAGCTCAGAGCCTGGAGCCTGCTTCGGATTCTGTGTCTCCTTCTCTCTCTGCCCCTCCCCAGCTGATGCTCTGTCTCTCTCTCTCTCTCCTTCAAAAATAAGTGAACATTAAAAAAAATTAAGTTAGAATATACTGAACCCATGAAGAATTTCTGAGACAGTCCTCACCGGACCTGTGATGATTTCCTGGGTGGCAGGCTAATCCCTTACAAAGTGATGATGTTCTCCTTGCATAGTCTGGGTGCCCGCCAGTGGCCTGGGGGGACAGGATGGTAGTGGAGAATATTATGACCTTAGGATGAAAGAAATTCTAAATTCTGTGTCCTTGTTAGATGACCCCAGGGTAGCAATCCTTGTCACTTAGAAGTCAGGGGCCAAAGGCTCTCTACTACAGAGAATTGTTTATGAGCTTTGGCTTTAGATTGGAACTGGCAAAGGTATGCCTTAGTTAATACCCTTGTTACTAATTAAGGCAAAAATAATGACTTGGTTCATGAGGGCACAGAAGATTATGCTGCCTTAGAATATCCCAGAGGACAGATCCAGTATTTTCTTCCTAGAGTTTGCATAGCAACAAAAATGGACTGCCCTTTAAGCCAATCAAGATGAGATTGATAAGACCATGGTATAGGGTGTGTGTGTTTTTTGTTTGTTTTTGTTTTGTTTTCATTTTTGATAGAGAGTTTTTCACCTTTCAGTCCATTTGAACTCACAGCACCTCTTCTGACATTTGTGTTATATGTTGCGTCTATTCTCTCCAGGCTGGATGGACTGGAGAGGAGGCAGGAGGGGCACGTATAAAGCAGATTCATTGCTGGAGGTGCTGAACGTCTGGTGTAATGTTTCACAATGCCTTGTGTTTCCAGGCAGTGGACCAATCCAGCTGTGGCAGTTTCTTCTGGAATTACTCACTGATAAATCCTGTCAGTCTTTTATCAGCTGGACAGGAGATGGCTGGGAATTCAAGCTTTCTGACCCAGATGAGGTAAGAAGGGGTCGACTTGTGAGTACTGTGTTGAGGTGGGGGAGGGTGAACTCTGAACAGTGGTTATGTGGGCTTGGATGACCTGTCCTAAGATTCCAGTCACTCCTCTACCCCTGAGTACTTGCATGACCTTGAGCCAGTTACATCACCTGCCTGAGCGTTAGTGGCATCATTTGGAAAATCAAGAAAATATCCACAATACCCGTTTGGTTTCCAGGATTCACAGATACAATGGGCCCGGAGTGCCTGGCACATAGCAGACCCCTCATAAATATAGCTTAGCACGTCTTCTGGCCCTGTGGCTCCGTGAATCTGGAAGGGGTCAGACAGGTCAAGAGGTCTTGGAAGATTACTAGAGTTTATTCATTCAATTCATTATTTTATTCAGCAAATGCGTATTGAGTGCTTGCTCTGCACCATGTGCAATTCTGAACATGAGAGAATCAAAGACACTGAACAAGAGAGAAGATAGCTCTGTTCTGGCAGACATGCGAAGATATGGTGCCCTGGTACAGAAAAAAATGCTTCCTGTGGATGAAAAACAGCTTAGCTCTGCTCCCCTCCCTCACATTAAATTTCATACTTTCAAAGCGAGAATATTCTACCAATAACATAAAGAAAGGAGAGTCAATAGTGTTGCTTGTCCTTTTTTTCCCTTTTTTTTTCTTCCTTTTTTTTTTACAAATAGTTTATTGTCAAATTAGTTTCCACATAACACCCAGTGCTCATCCCCACAAGTGCCCTCCTCCATGCCCATCCCCCCCTCCCCCCCACATCCATCAGTCCTCAGTTTTTGTCAGCATTCAAGAGTCTCTCATGGTTTGCCTCTCTCCCTTTCCCCCATTTCCCCCCTTCTTCTCCCGGTTGGTCCTCTGTTAAGTTCCTCCTAGTCCTCCTATACGTGTACACATATGATATTTGTCCTTCTCTGCCTGACTTATTTCGCTCAGCATAACACCCTCAAGGTCCATCCATGTAGCTTTTTTTCCCTTTTTTGTCAGTATCAGGTACCTTATCACATAGAGATACATTGTCAATTTCTTTTCTTTTTAAAAATTTTTTAACATTCAGTTTTTGAGAGACACAGAGAGAGCACAAGCAGGGGAGGCACAGAGAGAAAGAGAGATACAGAATCCAAAGCAGGCTCCAGGCTCTGAGCTGTCAGCACAGAGCCCGACACGGGACTCAAACTCATGAACTGCAAGATCATGACCTGAGCCAAAGTAGGATGCTTAACCGACTGAGCCACCCAGGTGCCCCTATTTTCATTGATTTAAAGAATCCACTTAATCACCATTCTCGCCCAGCTCTTGAAAATTGGAACTTAGAAGAGGCGGCTCAGAAAAAAGATCTTCCATGTGTGCGAATCTCTGTCCCATCTTGAACATCATGGGTCACCACGAATGGATTTAGAGGCATATAAGCATGCCTATTTGGAATATCCTGTAGGTGTTTACCCTTGTTTCATTTTTTAATTTCAGGTGGCCAGGAGATGGGGAAAAAGGAAAAACAAGCCTAAGATGAATTATGAGAAACTGAGCCGTGGCCTACGCTACTATTATGACAAAAACATCATCCACAAGACAGCGGGGAAACGCTACGTATACCGCTTTGTGTGTGACCTGCAGAGTCTCCTCGGGTACACGCCCGAGGAGCTCCATGCCATGCTGGACGTCAAGCCCGATGCCGACGAGTGATGGACACCAAAGGGGTCGGGGAAACTCTGCTGAGACATTTCGAAGAACAACCGCGTCGGTCGGACTCTTAATTTTTAAATGTCATTCTATTTTTAATTTTCCAGAACTCATTTTTTTACATTCAGGGGTGGGAGCTAAGTGGGCTGCAGCTATAATCAATTGTGCGCAGTTGGAAAAAGACAGCCAGGACGTGAGGGGCGGGGGTGGGGGGTGAGGAATTCTTGAGCAAATTTTCAGGAAAGAGAGAAGGGTCTTCTTAGAAGCTTGAAGCATCTGGCTTCAGGGAGGAGACTAATGTGTCCAATTATTGTTAAAAATCATCCATGAAAAAAATGCATCTTGAGCGGTGGACCTATTAGCAAAAGAAGTTGACACGTCAGGAGTCCTGAGACCCATGAAAGACAACTAATTTGCTTTTGTTTTTAGGTCTGGGAGGGCAAAGAAGAAGGAGATTGGATAAAACATTTGGTTTGGGGGATGCACTAAAAACCAAGGACTATTTACCTTTTACTCTTCTTTCGAAACAAAGATCGACTTCAGTGGGGAGGGGCCAAAACAGTTTTTGTGTTAAAAGTTTTATTTTATTAAATTTTGTGCCAGTATTTTTTTTCTTAAGAATCGTCTTAAGCTCTAAGGTGGTCTCAGTATTGCGGTTTCATGCAAGTTTGTTTTTATTTGCCGACTGAGGATTCTGTCACAGTGAAAGGAAACTGTTTATATAGACCCCACTGGAAACGCAAAGTGCTGTCACTCAGATCGGGGATCCCAAATTCACGTGACTTCTGTATGAAGGAAAAAAAAAAATAATGCTGATTTGGGGACAAGGGACCTGTGCATGTGAATTTCATCTGTATCTTAAAAAATTATCACATCCCTCTTCTTACTTGTCATTAGTGGATTCTCGGGGTTTGGACTTAACGTTGAGCTAAGAAGCATTAAGTCTTTGAACTGAATGTATTTTGCAGCCCTGGTTTTGGACCACAGTAAATGTAGGAGCACTGTTGAAGTCGTAGAATGGAGATCGAAGGAGGAAGATTGACTTGGTTCTTAATGGGTTCTATACCTGTAACATACATGACTTGGAATAAAAGCTGTGTGCATGGGCATTACCCCTCAGGTCTTTAGAATTAAGTCCTGAATGCATGTCATTCCATACCAACACTCTACACTTTCTCCTTTGTGTCTGATTTTCCTGGCATCCCACATTTATTGCTTACCCCACCCCACCCCCAGCCCGACCCTGTTACTCAGTAGAGAGAAATGTACAGCTTTCCAATTGGTGAGTGAAGGAGCAATGGCAGAGGTGACATGAATTCAAGAGCGTCTGAGAAAGCCATTTAGACGTACTGAGTTTGGGGAACAGTGGAGATCAGGATTGCATATAAATAAAATGTGGCTTGGCCGTCTTTGAGAGAAGTACAAGGCTTTCCTTTGAAGAGTCTGAGCTAGTTGAGTCAGATGTCAGGTGAGGCTGTGTATGCAGAGTGAATAGTGCAGATACTATGAGAGCCCTGTGTTTGGATCAGGGTAAGTGAAGGTTAATAATTGCAGAAGAGAGAAATGACTTGAAGGCAAAGGAAACATAAGAAAGGGAGCTTGGAAAATAAGGGGGTCTGTGAGATTCGAATATATTTTTTAGTTCCTTCAAAGTTTAAAGAGCAACTTAATCAGCTGGGGCAGTGGTGAAGGGCGGCCTGAAAATGTGTGGATTTTTTCGTGGGCCGGGGGTGGGGGGGGTGGGGGGAGGGAAGGGAAACCAACATCTAACCAGTGAGGAAAAGTGCCTAATACAATTGAACCCTGGCCCCCCACCATAGATGCCTGATTTAATTTTTTTAATGTTTATTTATTTTGTGAGAGAGAGGGACAGAGTGCAAGCAGGGGAGGGGAAGACACACACACACACACACACACACACACACACACACACACAATCTGAGGAGGCTCCAGGCTCTTCGAGATGTCAGCACAGAGCCCGACGCCAGGCTTGAACTCCCCAACTACAAGATCATGACCTGAGCCGAAGTCGGATGCTTAACCATCTGAGCCACCCAGGCGCCCCATGGATGCCTGATTTAAAAGGATGATGACAGAGAGACAGCTCTCGCAGACTTCAGTGGGAGAGGCAAAGAAACAGTTTAGGTGGGCTTCTCAGGGCTAGCCCTTCTTGGGCTCTGGCTGAGAAACTGGAAGTACTAACTACCTGCTAGTTTATCTTCGAGAAAGTGGATTGTTTATCCCCAGGTCCTCTTGCAGACGCTGAATGATCAGGAACTTAGCTCTGTGATTCATGCATTTCCTCATACTGATAAATCGGAGCATCCACTTGGAAAGCAAAAGCAGAATTGGCCCAGCTGTGTATTTTGATCTTCCGGATGCAGGTGCCTTAATGAAGCTCTGAAAATATTTTAGGAGCTGCTCAGGGAGTATTAGGCGGAACTGTTGGACTACATTGTTTTCTCTTAGGTTTTGTGATCTTTTTGGGGCACTGGCAAAGGGGTGTGTGTGTGTGTGTGTGTGTGTGTGTGCACGCGTGCGCACGCGCATGTGCATGTGCGCGCGTATGCATGTATGCATGTATGTGTGTGTGCCTGCAGACATGCAGAACTACAGCTGAGATAATGCCCGGGTTTTTCTGTTAGGTCTTTCCACATTTCAGTAATGAATGGGCAAGAGTAGAACCAAGCCAAGACATCAGCCATTGCTTTCTGTTTGCAACCAGGCTTAACATCACTTTTCTCCGTGTATCAACCTTTCCAATTAAATGTATGCTGAAAACTCCCCTTGTGTGAGTGTGTCTAAGTCCTGCAATCATTCCATAGCAGATAAGTGATAAGAAAGTGCCTCCTTATGCTCCTCACCCCGCTTGTTTGCTAAGATGCCTTTCGTTCGAGGTCGGCCGTTTTCAGTATTTATAGATAGTGTGCTAGTTAAGACAGCTTTGTCAATCTGGCCAGATGTTTTTTCTCTTTCTGTCCAGAGGCCAGAGACCATCCCAGGAAGAGTGGTGGGTGGTTTATACACTGGAAATGTAGCAGAATTGTTGCATTTATGCTTTTTCAAAACACATTAACTTCAGAGGAATGATGGGCAAATCTGGTTTAGCTGGTGAAACCCTTATTTTCCTGGAGATGCCTTAACCCATGTTGGTTTTGGCTGTAGGGTTCAGGGTCACTTTTGTTTCCTTCTCCGTGCAGGGGAGGGACTTCCCTACACAGAGCCCTGGTTTTGTGGCTTTGGGGGTTGGAGGTAGCATTCAAAGATCAGATATGCTTTTCCTCACTTTGGAGGCGAACACTCTGGGTTTTAGAGCATTAACCTGCCTAATCTTCGTGGTGAAAATTATACCTTCTCTGTTCTAGTCATGCTGTGCATGCTGCTTTCTGCTGGGGTCTATATAAATGTGTTGAACTCATATCTACATTCCAAAGAAATTTCAAGGAACCATAAATATATGTATACATATACATATATAAAGTATATATATTAAAATGAAATTATCTGTATCAGGAATACTGCCTCAGTTATTGAACTTTTTTTAAGAATACTTTTTTTTTTAAGCTGAGAAGTATAGGGATGAAAAAGATGTTATATTGTGTTTGACTATTTTCCAACTTGTATTTTCGTATAATTTATATTTTTTAAAAGCTGAACATTTAAAAGCAAGATGCAAAAAGGAAAAGCAGGTGCTTTTTAAAAATCAGAACTGAGGTAGCTTAGAGATGTAGCGATGTAAGTGTCTATGTGTTTTTTTTTTTAAATGCAAAAGAAATTTCTTATGCGGGAATTTTTTGTTTGTTTATTTTAGTAGCTGATGCTGGCACATCATTTTGCTGGAGAGTTTTTTATATACTGTAGCCTGATTTCATATTGTATTTTAAACTGTGTGAGATTAAAAACAAAGAAATTCATTCATAACAATGTGGGTTTGGCTCGATTCTTTCCTGTCTGGTTCATGTGTGAAAGCGGGACAGACCTACCAACCAGAGACAAGCACAGGAAGAAATAAATGCAGCTCAGTCTCGCTGATCTCACTATCTCGGGACCAGTTCAGATAAAGATTTCCTAATAAACTTACAATGAGAATACAGGGAAGTATAAAGTAATGCCCTGATCATTGACTGTAATATGGTGTCATCCTAGCTGGAATGTCCATAGCATTGTCACACCGCATTTTGCTCATGTCTGAAGGGACTAAGAGCCATATGAAACAGGTTTTAAATGACTCAACAGATAAATATTGGATTTCAACTGGATAAAGTTCCTGGTACTAACACAGAAAGATGGGGCACTTGGGTGGCTCAGTCGGTTGAGCATCCGACCCTGGATTTCGATTCAGGTCACGATCTCAGTTAGTTCAAGCTGCACATTGGGCTCTCCTCTGACAGTGCAGGGCCTGCTTAAGATTCCCTCTCTCCCTTTCTCTGCCCCTCCCCTGCTCATGCTCTGTCTCTCTCTCTCTCTCTCAAAATAAGTAAATTTGGAAGAAAAAAAAAAAAAGTTGAACATGTTTGGTGATGCTTTGGACATGAGTAGTGTTCTGGTTTCTTCTGGTACTAATTTTGCTCTGTGCAAATTTGGACCCATCACATTCACCTCCTTGGCCCCAACTCTTTCATTGGGACTGAAAACTGAGAATGAGGATATCTGTCAGAACCCCCAGCAGCCCATGCCATAAATAAAATCATATTTGTAAGTGCTTTGGGAACGAGTGCTTGGGAACACATCCTGCGTGGCGCTTCTCTCTTGTTGTTGAAACTGTAGAAGGTGGATGTTTTTAATTAACACCAGCATTTGCAACATGAATCCCAAGTCACAGCTGGAAAGAGAATTTTTGCTGAATTGTTCACAAAGAGAGCTCTGGTTTTGGAAAATCTATTTCTTCAGGCCTGAAACTTGAGGTTTGCTGAGTGTACGTTGAACACTGTGTGGTCTAGTGGCTAGAGTGCTGGACTGGCCATGAGGGGGACTCTGGGTCCTATACCTCAGACAAGCCACCGCCACTCCCTGGGAGACTTTGGGAAGATGACTTGATGTCCTTATATTTTTTAGTCTTCAGCTACAAAGCCAAGCAAAGCCAGTTTCTGAGCCAAACTGAGGCCCCATCGGAGCTATCTTGCCTTGAATAACCACTACACAGAGAATAGATCTCTGCCTCAGTCAAGGATTAGGTCAGAGAGCTTTCCTTTGGTGCCAAGTTGCTCTTCTCCCCCAAAGTATCTGATTTGGTGCTGACCAGGTTAAAAGATACAAGATATGCTTGAATGAAATACGCTTAGACCTCTGTTTCTCAAACTAGGGGCTAGAGCTTAGAGTCTCAGACAACTTGGCTTGGGCGATTTCTCTTAATGATACTGCCGAGACCACCATACTGAAGCCACGGTGGGAGCAGCTGGGCCAGAGACAGTATCTTCTAAAACACTGCAGGACTTGGAGGAACAGGCTAGGGTGAGGATAGAGATGGAGGGAAAAAAGGAGTCGTTCAGGAGAAGCTGGCTATCAAAAATCTCTAGATTTGACAGGCTTTCGGGAGGTTAGGGGTGAAAGTAATTGCCCAAGGCTAATCTGGCTCACCACTGCTATGGCTTTGGAGCCAGCGATAACACTCAACAAATAAATAAATAAACACGCAAACAGATAAAAATCAAGAGCAACAGAGGTTTCCTGTATAATGAGGTATAATTTTTTAACCTAAAAAGGAAGAGGATTGTGATTTGTGCTTTGGGTAAAAGGAGGCAGGCAATGTAGATGAGAAGTTACGTGTGGGCCGACTGTGAGTTGATTGTGCACCATAAAGTTGTTCAACTTGGCCTTCACAGTGTTGGGACTCACCTGTACAGCTCCAGGGAACTGTGCACTGCAGTACAGTATAGGTGGTCTTTGAATACTGGCATTCCTTTAGAGCAGGCACCTACAGACGCTGAGTGGTAGATACCCCTCAAGGTGAACATGAACCTCCTATTCTGTCTCTAGGTCAGCCCCGCACGTTTGCACTCCTGCCTGGTCCCTGTAGAATTTGACTTGGTGGCCTGTAGGAAGCTCTCTATTCAGGATCCGTGTTTACTTGGCACGAAGCCCATTTTATTCTAGAACCTATGGTGGAAGG